AACAGGGAAGATGGCATTCTGTTGCCTCATGTATTTCCACTATTCTGCTATAACACAGCACCACCTATAGGCAGTGGGGCACCAAAACAGAAAAGGAAGAGCTCTTTGTGTAGATCTCAGAAGCAGAACAATAAATGCCTCGTGCAGAGGAGCCCAGAGAAAGAACAAGCCTCTGGTACTGCTGGACTTTCTGGGAAAACCCTTGACTCAAAGGAAGTGAGATCAAGAGACACTGGGATTCTCGCTCTGGAGCTCTAACACTCTGCATCCAGTTATACAGCTGCCATTTTTCTGCACAATCACAGAGCTGCAGAGGACATTTGGGACTTCAGAGGACACTCAGAAAGCTAAACTGTTGAGGAGGGTGGTGGGAATGGATCAGAGACCAGATGGTGGTGCAGACTGTGCCTCAGTGAGGTTGTCAAGAATCTAGGAAACCAACAAGGTCACCCTGCCAAACCTGGTCCATAAAGAGTACTGCTGCATCTGACCAGAAGTCCTCCTGGACCAATATTCTGTTTCCAGCAGCAGGCCCCCGATGTGCCTGGAAGCAGCCCACAAGGTGGCACCTGGCAAACACCCATCCCAGCTGTTTGTCCCTGGCACCTGACATGCAGAGATAGGCTTCCATTGTGTGTAGAAACCTCATTCAACAGGCATTACTGAAAGTATCAGGTGAGATGTCCTCCTCCATGGATTTGTCCAAAATTTGTATGGTTTGTATGGGGAAAAGGTATGCAAAGTTTTAAATAAATCAAATGAATATCACTTTTTTAAATTGATCCTTGGACAGTTCCCCCCCCCCATTGTAAATGAATATGGATTTTCCACCCATCTCTCTTGCTTTGTTCTTGGCCCATAAGGACTACCTGGAATTAAGTAATAGGATTTTTCTCTGATGACCAGATTTTCTACCTCCTCTGGATTTCCTGCTTTTTTTAAAAAGCCCAGTTCTTAATTTTTTGTCACTATGTAGAGTTGATCCTCTCTGCGTCTGATTTACAAGTGACCCTCCATTATGCAGGGCAACTGTTACATTAACCCAAATGACACGCTGCTCATGCGCAAGGCTGGGATTCCACCAGAGACTGGCTGCCATTCTGTCGGATCCTGTTACCCCTTTATGTCCATCTATGAACTAAATCACCAGGCTGGTGTTCCAGGACTGGAAATAAGGGATGCCTGAAGGAGGAATGTTTTGAAGCAAGAGGACTTCACCGTGTTCCTGTGGACTATTAAATCACTCTGGACATATATAGTCATAACATTGGAGCATGAAGCACTGTGTCAGCAACCAAGCAGGATGGAAAGATTTGATCTCTCAGCCTCAGTAGAAAGAAATGACAAACTTCTACGTGTGTGTCTGTGTCTTTGGACATTCAACGAAATGTTTTATGGCCTAAGCCAACCTCCTTCAGCTGGGTACCCTCCAGAGGTGCGGAATCAGAATGACTGGAGTTGTAGTCCAGCACATCCAGAGGGCACCAATTTAGGCAAGAATGGCTTTGGCACTTGCTGATATGCCCTCCAAATGTTTGTCTGGACTGTATGAACACTGACACCAAATGCATAAAGCAGCATCGGATTATAGGCATATAATGAACTGCTTTCCCTTCTAGTTATAAATTGTGCACTTCTTATCTTTGGTCATGCACATCTACTTTGCTAAATGAGAGAAAGAGAACATAGGGACGGATTTTTTATTTTCCCACCCCTCTCCCTGAAACACAGCTATTCTTCCTCACCTCCCCCACACACAGATCGAATTTATTCCTTCTTATCCACAGCATCAGTACTGGATCTGTACTGTCATGATGTTAGGGATATCGCAAGGGCAAAGAGCATGACTGACTGACTGACTGACTGACTGACTGACTGACAAAGATGCAGTACATGTTTTTTCTGATCACAGATTAAAGCAAACCTCTTGTGAGTCCAAAGGAGTCTGCCTTATACAGAGCTAGGCTGTTAGTTTTGCTTATTGCCTTAGGGATGCTGGAGAAACCTGCAACAGATTCAAAGGGGTTTCAATTTATCTGACTTGATTCCTCAGTGGACTGGCTTTTTCTGAGATGTTTGATCCCTAGATCAGTGGTTTACTTTTGGGGAGATGAGGTTGTGCAACTTCCTTGCACATCCTTAAAAAAGGACTGGATTCTGTCAGTGCAACCGAAGAAACCGGACCATCTGTGAAACACAGAGGAACATCATCCATCCATTGCTACCTGCTCCAGGAGTAATCAACTGGAGGTCTAATTGCAAAATTCCTTGGCAAGTGACCACTGCTGAAAATAGTGATATCTCTCTCTCTGAGCAGCCTGCTGGTTGATGGGGAAGAGAGCAGGGGGGAGAAGAAGAGAGATGGCAGGGTGGGGTGTTGAGTGAGAGACGGGGCTTTTATGGGGCAATGGCCCTACCTCATTCATGGAATGTAACAGAGGTCCAAACAATAATGCCATCGCATCTATTTTGCCTTTTTTCTTTCTCTTAAAAAAATCCACCGAGAAAATAAACCTGGAATGGCTGGAGAATGTCTTTTAACTTGCAATACTAGGAGCTCTCTCTCCAGAAGGGGGACAGAAAGAGAGGGTGGAGGGCGAAAGCAGGTGGCACAGAGGCAGAAAGAGACAGAGAAGAAAAAACCCACTTCTGGCATGCAAGTCCAAACTGTTCACCCTGAGGGAAGGAGGCCCTTGGCAAAGTGTTCTAAAAAAGCATCTGCCCAGAATGGGGGTGGCTCTCCAGAAATTTTCAGCTTATTGCAGTTTATT